AGTCAAAGTGTCCCTTCTCTTATTTGAAATAATTGATGCAGTCTCAGAATTTGCTTCTCTGGTCCATGTGTCTCATTGCTGGCTCATAACAGCTTACTCTCTTATCAGTGCCAAGTCCTTGTCAGCCACCGCTCAGACAAATACATTCTCCTTATAAATACCTTCAGACTGACAGCCCATATCAGATCACGGCCCAGGGAAAGTTATCGGTGGTGGCTATATGGACTTGACTCAACCCAATCTTTTTTGCCTGGATATGCCATCTCTTGTGTCTTCATCAAGATCTCTGTATATATATGTATATGTATATGTATACATATATACAGTGTTAAGAAGTTTGGTAATGCATGTAGTTTAGTCATTTATGTAAGAGTGTACATCAGGCCATTTGTTAAGCCCCTAGAACTACATTGTTTTTTCTCAGAGTATGGGTTGTCAAACTTTTACTGTAAAGAGTCAGAGTAATATTTTCAGTTTTGTGGGTCACATGGTCTCTGCTGCAACTACTCAGCTCTGCTGTTGAAGGGTGAAAGCAGCCACAGAGAATATGTAAGCAATAGGCATGGCTGCTTTTCAATAAAACTTCATTTACCAAAACAAGCAGTGGGAAGAATTTGGCTGGTGGGCCGCAGTTTACTGATGTGAGCGTTTGAGTATCTGAAAGCCTTTCGTGATAAGTATTTTCTCATTATCCTTAAACGTAGCATGAAAGTCGCATACTACTGAATGTATTTAGAGATAGAGAAACTGAGGAGCACAGAGAATGTGATCATTGCTGAGACGAATTAATATGTACTGTTGTGGCAATCTCCCTATTCATCTCTCTGCTCAGCGAATGGACTCTGCGAGAGAGTCATCTTTACACGGGAACAAGATTTCAGTAACAGCTCACTTCTTGGGTTTGTCCAGTGGCTGTCCTTGTCATGTAGATTTGCTTATAATGATCCCATTGAGCCAGAATCTAACAAAGCCCTTTATTATCACTACCCATTATGCTTGAGAGCAAGCTGCTGCTGTGACCACGTGTGGACAGTCTGGGAGGGTGGATAAGCAACGACTCACTGTCTTTCCAAACCATTCACCGAAACGGCCCAGCTTCCTGAGAAGCAAAATAAAACATGGATGCCCATCAACTCCACATTTTCATCACTTAACAATAACTCTTTATGGGCTGGCTCCTGCAGAACATACACTTTCTACACAGAGCTCCTGCTATACTACTTTGCAGTTTGATGCGCTTTGCGTTTGGGACGCTGCAGGGGATTCCTGCCTCCCAGACCTCTGTCAGCTGAGGACCAAGGAGAGGGTCACTGAAGCACGTGGGTGTGATTTCCAGGCTAATCCATAGCTCCACAAATAGTTTGGAGCACCTGCTCTGTGCTGCACACCATGAAAGATGTTAGGAAGTCAGAAATGATAAACTAGGGCCTCAAGGAGCTCTGGCTGGTAATGACTAAAATGCATGGAAAGACAAATCTCTCAGTTTTGCCCCTTAGCAAAATCACTTTTTTCAGCTCTAGCATCCCTTCTCATGAATATACTTCGGAATTTTCCATTCTCCCCAGAGTTACCTTCCTTTGCATTTTAATCTTGGAAGCATTTGTTCTTTTGAATGTCACGCAGTGTGACAAATTTGTTGTCTTACTTTTACGGAAGTAAAAGCTTCTTTTTTGTACGCTTATTCTCCCCAGGTATTCTCAGAGTGAAAGTGTGACAGCTTTCCCTATTTCTGAAGAGTGTCCTAATGTTTCATTCAAGGGTATTCACAACACAAAGGTAAAAAAAAGTGACATAAAATAAAAAGTAAATCTGAAATCTATGTCATCCTGGCTTGGTCTTCAATGTGTGTATGAATGGATTTGCTGTAGTGCTGAGAAAATCAGTCTTAGTGATTTATCTGGACAACCGAGAGCAGAATCAGTACTGTCAGGTCACAATGGTAGTGAACGGTCTTTCTACAGGACCAGGGATGTTGAGTAGTTGTGCACTTTGATCTCTTCCAATCCAACCATGCTCAGGTAGAAAGAATCAGTGACAATAAGGTAACATTAGGCTAAATCAAAATGGCACACCCATTTTCACAAGGGAATACACAAAATAAACAGCCAAAGAACCAATTTCTTATGAAACAGAGTCTCTTAACATTAAGAACATTCTGTACTTAACATCTTTGAGCTCTGGCCATACAGTAGGTTGAGGAAAATGACACAATCCCAGAGAAAGTCTGTTATCCCCACTCTTTCAACTCTTTGCTGAACAGTCCAAATTAAATGTGATGGTTCGAATGTCCTCACTGGGGAGCTGTTACAACCTACCTATGCTAATTCAATGTCCTGAAAACCCTCATGGCCTCACCTCTGTTCTCTCATATTTGCCAACGTTTTGGTAGTTCTTAAATTGACTTTTTCTGCCAGGTTCAAATCAGTATATCCATCTGAAAACATAAATCTAGTCAGAATTTGAAGATAACAAAGAGTTAATACTTAACTGGGAAAAGTCAGTGCCCAAAAGGAATTAACTACATTCCCTTTTCAATTTTTCTGTCTTCTGGCTAACTTTCCAAACAGATTTAATCATTCTCTCAGTATCAGTCACAATCAGAATCTCTCCCCAATGGCCAGCCCACAGCTGCCGCTTTGCTCTGAGATTGCCTGGCAGCCAGTAGGCCCCTCGCAAACACATCACTCAGCCCCACCAGTTCAGCCCCTCCGGTGCCCTTAAGAGGCTGAGCTGCTGGCATGAATATATTCCAAGGACCCCATTTAACTTGCAAGCCATTTAGATGAAATTAGCGGGGAAAGCCATCAAGGATGAGGGCTCGCTTCCCATCCCAGGAACATAAGCTGCTCCCGGTCTCCTTTTCCTCGCTTTGGAAAGGGAGGTGAGGATTTCAGTAACTGCTCTTGCCATTATTTGTATATTATTGCTTTCAGGTGGCAGAGCAGGTGTTGGTCTGTGTTCTCTTACAGAACACTCACTATTTCCTGTTACTTTGGGGGCAGCAGCCCAGGTTTCCAGAAATGAGCATTCCCTTCTCCTGCCTCTAATGATGGCTGTGCCAAAGGAGAGCTCTTTCAATCCATCGACTCTTTGCCACCAAATAACTGGAAGCCGTGACTCTGAAAGTTCCTCCTGCCCATCTTGAAGCCTTCGCTTCTCATCTCTTCCCTTCGCTCTGAAGGAGAAGTGCAATTTTTCATTTGCTGTGGAACTGAGGATGTGGAAGATGCTGAGGCAGGAGTGTCTGGCGAGATCAAAGTGAGCTCAGAAGATGGGGTTTCAGGCACGGGATCTGCCTGCCATGCTCTCTGGGTCTTGGGAGAGTGTGCAGCTGACTTCACGACCAGGGTTCTCAGCCCCGTGCTGTCTCTCCCAAGGGCAGGTTTCTGACGGGCATGTCAGAATGGGCTTTCTTTTGTGCAAACCCTTCCTATTTTCCTTTGTGATTGGTCACAAAAGACTCACTCTGGTCTTTATCTTCTTTGCATCTTTTTATATTGGGTCCATACATTTTCTCGCCCTCATTTTAAGTACTCAAGAGGCTCATAATAACTATCCTTCTGGTATTCAAGAGATGGAGACCCCACTGCACACCAGTTTGGGCATTCCAAGCTTTCAGCTTTGTTTTTCTCCATCTCTTGCATAGCTTTCAGTTGTTCTAAATACCATGTCTAGTGTTTCATTGATGAGTGTAATTTCAGAGTGACAAGATTTTGGAAGTGCAAAGCAGTTAGAAGTATTTCCAGCTCGTTGCCTGCCTCCTTCTTGCCGAGATCGGCCTCTGACAACTCATCCTGCGTTCATTTTCCAAGAGGTAACTCAGTCTTGGACACTTTATTGAATACCACGTTAGATATGGAAAAGTACTGCAACAGCATCCAGTGAGGCAGTCATTTGTTTTACGCTGGCGCTTTTCTTTTAAAAGTCACATTGCAAAAGTTGTCTCCTATGCTGTCGTAAATATGTTCATTGCAAGTTAAACTTGGTTAAAGCTTCAGGAAAGGCAAAATTATAATTTGACTGTGAAATCATTTGATTAAAGTCTGACTCTGGAGTTGAGTACAGCCCTTGAGCAGCAGCACTGGTGTCTGTTCGGTTTGGAGGCCCAGGGACAGGGTTTGGGACACAGTAGGCATGCACTCTTTTTATTTTGAAAAGTGACATTTGTTCATTTATCTGTACTCATTTGATAGTAACTCCCAAACCACTGTGTGGTACAATTTCATGACGCAGGTGTTTTTTTTCTATTGGACAACATGCTGCTTTTGTCCACTGGGCTCTGCCTCCTTAGCAGTTCGGGGGGCTTAGTCTGTCCACATCTCCTTACCAAGCAAGCTGGTGGAAAGTGGTTCACACCTGCCTAACCCTCTTAGCAAGCTGGTTGCATGGGTGGAGATTACTTTGGTCCAGTCTCCATCCCATCCTTTACCATGAGGAGGTGGACAACATTCTAGTCTTTGGAGGGCTGACCTCCCACAGAGCCCAGGTTCCATGCACTTTAAGGACCCAGGAAAGTTTTAAAACTTTAATTTCTTTTGAAACCAAAAGGAAAAAAATGAGTATCATAATAATGAATAGAAAATATGAACCTCACCTGGATTATGTCTTTACTCCAATGGAGTTAAAAAATATGATTTTTAATATGTCTCTCTCTACCTATTTTTTAATGGAGGAAGGGGCCACAAAGACAAAAGTGCCCAGGGCCCATAAAAGTCATAATGTTGCTCCTTTGGTCCATGAAAGATTTACTCATCAATTAGGTTCCCAGAACATGCTGGAAACTTACCACTACTTCCTTGGCAGTAATAAAAAAGCTATTTGGGGGATGTAATTTTGTTTCAGCTCTGAGCTCCTGTCCTCTGACACTGCCACTCAACCCCCCCACCCCAGGCACAGTTTCCCTCAGGCTAACACCCCCCAACCCTGCCTTTCCCCTCATCCACCCACTTTAACAACCCAGCAGATCTGCATAGGAGCATGCTTGCCTGGAGATAGGAGATGGAATCTCTAAGACGCAGAGAAGATACTCCCCACCCTGAGTATCAAGAAAAGGCACAGTGAGTATTTATAGAATGCAAGAATGACTCATGTACTGGAAAGAGGGATGGGTTTGCAGCCAGAGACACCTAACTCTGCTACGTACAGCTAAGCTGTCTTGGTCAAATCACTTAGCCAGCCTGACTAGCCTATCAGCAACAGTGATAACAAAGCGCACTTGGCAAGTTGTTCTAAGGTTTGAAGATGATTTATGTACAAACATAACCAGATACAGTCGTCCCCCCTCATCCCTGGTTTTGTTTTCTGTGGTTTCAGTGACCCGTGGTCAACCACGCTCCAGAAGCAGGTGATCCTCCTCCCGATGTACCACCAGAAGGTCAGTAGCAGCCTAATGCTATGTTACAGTGTCTCTGTCATTCACCTCACTTAATCTCATCGTGTAGGCATTTTATCATCTTACATCATCCTAGGAAGAAGAGTGAGTAAAGTATAGTAAGATATTTTGAGAGAGAGAGATCCACATAACTTCTATTACAGCATATAGTTTTAATTGTTTTATTTTATTATCAGTTATTATTGTTAATCTCTTACTGTGCTTAATTATAAAGTTAATCAGAGGTATGTGTGTGTAGGAGAAAACATAGCATAATAGAGTTTTGTACCATCTGCAGTTTCAGTTATCCACTGGGGTCTTGGAATGAATAACCCATGGATAAGGGGGAACTATGATATATAACTATGATATAATCTTTTTTAAAGCTATTATATAGAGAGAAATAAAGGTACTGTGGAATAGAGTAGGATTGACAGTAAAATAAAAGGTGCTCAGCAAGTGATTGGCATTATTATTAAGTTAAGCCACTAAATTTCTCAAATTCTTGAATGGCTCTCTACTGCTTACAGAACATAAGATAGAGGGCTCCTTGGCAGGTGACAAAGCCCTTGAAATCTGAGGGACGCCCTTCTGTTACACTCTCCTACTCTTTTCCTCATGCTTACAATTTTGCTCTAGCAAGACTGATTTACTTGCAGTTTCTCCAGTCTTCCAGGCCCTTGCATATCTTTGTGTTTTTTGCAGATGCTGTTCCCTGTCTGGAACGCACCCCCTCTCCACTACTGTGCCAACATTTGTCTAGAAAATTTGTCCTAGAAAATTCCTATCTCTTTCCATACACTCTTTTATTCTCAATGCTTCCCCATTCCATATCACTTTTCCTTCTCCTTCCTATCTTATAGCTTAGAAAATGAAGGCATTATTTTAGAGTGTTTATATTTAGTTCTTATGAATTTAAATGTAGTATTTATAATTTCCCACCATTTAATCACCATTTGAACTTGCTGAGGTGGTGTGGAAAAATAAGATTTTGAAAAATCTTCTTATGCACCTTTAGTTAATCCTTCAGATACAGTAAATCAGACATTTCATTGGGAGCCCTAACTGGTCAGTAATGTCTTTCTCTCTCCCCACCCTGAACACCATTGTGACTGTAAAAGCAAGCTCTTTCCTAAAAGCAACCACACAAATTTGCCGGATACTCCATTCTTTATTTTAAGATAGTTTGGATCATAAATCATTAGAAATTAGGACCAAATTTGGAAAGAGTTCAAACTTGTATAACATTATTAACCATGCACCATCTTAAACTAGCCTGCTGATACACAAATGGAAAAAAAATTGTGGAGTGTAATTTTATAAAACTCTTGATAAAGAGGTGAAATCTAGATTTTTATTAAGAAGTAGACAGTAATTTCCAAATTGATGACATTTTATTCCATTGAGCACTTGAAACTGAAAGATCAACTTTACCAAAATAACTTTGATCACTGCAAATAATTCATAATTAAGTTCTTATAATTGGTTACAGAATATTAATGCATTTGGACTAAATACACATTTAATGAAAATGTAGCAGTAAGTGTTTTCAGGCTTCAAATATTTATTATCTGTCCTTTAGATGTCAGCATTCTTTAACACAAGTGTACTATACAGCTTAATGCTTCTATGGAGATTAAAATATGTATTATATTAATATGAGCGATGATTTATGTCAGAATGTACTGTCATCTTCTCTGATAAAAAAGATTATAAAACAGATAACTATAATGTGGGGGGGAGGCTTGTGCTGATTTGAAATCTCTATTTTCAATTTTATCCAGGAAAGCTATTTATAAGACCTCTCCATATTAAACAACACCCAATCAGTTCTACTGACAGTGAGATGACTTCTAAATATGAAAAAGAATGAGAAGCAGGCCTATTATTGAGGATGGAAGCCATGCTCAGATTGCAACATAAACAGGTTTGCAACAACAGTGCCAGTTTCTTCTTCTTCTGAAGAAGAAGGCAAAGCCAGGGAAGAAAGAGTAGGATGTATCAAGAGGGTGCAATATGTTATAAAGGCGGATATCATGTCCTGCAAAATGAACATGTAAAAATTCTGAATTTAGAGTCTATTTTAAATGAATTATCCAAAAGGCTATTTGCTATCTTTAGAAGTTTAATGCATTTTAAAGTAACACTCTCGCATTATAAAGTATGAAATCACAAAGTTCGGCATGGGGAGACTATAACGGAGGCCTCCTCCATTATCTAGAGCTATGAGTCAGGCAGGGATCTCATTATCGACAAGCAGGTGTCATATTTACATTAATTTTGCTTGCATAGGTCATAGGGTGAAAAGAAGCCAAGAACCAATTAGTAGAAGAAATTTAACATGTCTTACCTTTTAAAGCTTATACTTAGGGATATATGAAATATTTTCTTCTTGAAAGTTCTTCAGTATATATGAATATATTCATATACATAAAACAGGTATTTGTAAATTTACTTTTGGGAAGTTAGTTATACCCAGTGGAAGAAAATTAAGAATAAAAGATGATTTGATCAAGCATGTAGCTATTATCCTGTGGTAACAAGATTCCAGTATCCTCATCTCATACAGAACTTTGCTCAAATAAACTATTAAGATGTAAGTAGTACAACTAGTTGTGGTTAAGCTTTGTGAAGAATGTTATGGATGCGGGCTCTGTAGCACTGTAGTGTACCTAGTAAGACCAAGAGATGCATGGATATAATTTTGAAGAACAAAAGGAGAATAGCATTAGTTGATTTAAGCTCTATGTCCTATTTATATGAGAACAGACACTATTAAATACCAGTGCATAGAAAAAAATTCTGTATATATTCAGTTTAATGATTTCTATTAAAAAAAATTCTCTTCTCGTTACATTGGCCGACACTTCTCATATTCTGGTCTGCTCATAGACGATAGCATGAGACATCATAGTTTTCATGAGATTCCTTTAAGTCCTTTTATCCCTGCTATTTTTTTCTGTCACTGTAGAAACCACCCAGATTATTATGCCAAGTAGAGAAGATCTCAGTATGAGAGCTGTGGGATTCATTTTGCACTAACAGCCATTTGCAACCCCTACATCAGTACGTTTCAACAGAGAGGGCTTTGATGTGGGTACTTTATGGCTTGTTGCACTTTCCCACTGTGCAAAGTCTTAAACATCATGCAAAGATATATGTCAGTATCTTGCTTACCCTGACTTTTTAAAAAATCATATAGGAAAAACAATACCTTTCAGTTATAACTTATGGGGAGCAGTGGCCAATAGCTCCTGAGGCCTGAGTTTTCTCATTTGGAAAGTGGGATAATGAGACCTACCTCACTGGATACAAAGAAGAAAAACAAGGTGATGAATCTGAAAGTAATTAGCCGGATATAAAGTACTATCCTGATATAAAGTAACTGATGTGATTTCCAAGTAATAAAGTACTACTGACACTATTTCAATTGATCTTTGGAAAGTCCCCACGTGACCAAAAAGCAGGAATTAATGATATGCAATGATAAGAAAAATAAGTTTTCAGAGTTGTTAAGTATTTGTCTGAGGTCACACTGTTGGTATGTAATGTAGCTAAATCTCCAACTAGGTTGCCAGGCACCAAACATCTGAAAGCATTGAATTTTTCCCTTCTTGCTTCTCTGCATTTTATGTGGCATCTCACAGATAAGGGCTAATTCATTTTCTGCTAATTTAAGGGCCGTGATTGCTCCCTACACACATCAGATCAGTCTCCACCATCCTGTATGCACTGCACACTGATTCTCATTTTCATCCAGTCATCTGTACTGTGCCTAATTGTTTCAATCCTGCCCCAGCTTTTAAGAAAATTAAGATTTTGCAATGCTTTCCAAGGCTTATCTCAAGCTGCACTGTGGCCCTGACATTTTCCAACAGCATCTTTAACCACTGAGCCTTTCGCTGACTATGCAGAGCCATCAGATTGGTACCACACACAATCCAGGCTTGATTAGATTGTAATTTTTCTAATCCTTCTGTGCACATAATTCATATCTCTGAACCAAATTATCAAGTCAAGTGTGGGAAATACAGCTACTTTGAAAAAAATACCTCCTACAAACTTAACGACTGATGATGGGTTAGGTAGAATCTAGGGATTAAAAGATATTTTCTTTAGTTTTGATGATAGTATCTATCTTTATTTAAAAAACAGAGTTTGTATTTCCTAGAGAAACATACCTGAGTATTTAGGGATAAAGCGGTATCCTTTGTTTGACCATGTGATGATAAATCCTAAGTTTAATACAAACGATAACATACATGATATCCTAAGGTTAGTTTGAGAAGAGTCTTGGAGGGAGTGGTTAAAGGGAAGTGGAGGAAGGAGGGGAAAGACATGAAGTAAGGTTTTCGTAGGTAGATAATTATGAAACAGGATAAGAAGAAAATGGGAGTTCACTATATACTGTTCATTTCTACGTATTATTGAAAATTCCCAGAAATTTAACCAAATAAAAAAGGCTAGCACGAGGGACACTTGATAACTCCCATAAATCCTGGTACAGTATTGGGCATCTAGTAGCCTTAGTGAAGCCATGACTATATAGTGAAAAGAATACTTTAACATTTCTGATCACGTTACATTAATTTCTTACATAAAAAGAATAAATATTCTGAAGAACTCTCACCCCAGCAATAAGCCTTATGTGAGTTAATTCTTCCCTGATAGAAGTGAATAAAGGTGAATGAGGCTCCTTCTGGCACCACCCTACATACTGTCCATGTTTGTGCCATGCAATAAAGAAAATAAAATATGGATGGTTTTGGTATTGGATTTAACTTAAACTATCCATTTAACTTAAAATGAGCTATTTCCTGAGCAAACTGAGAATTAGAACATATAGTGCTCAATATCCAGCTGTCCAGCTAAAAATACAGAAGAAAAAAATATAGAATAATGGATGCAATAAAATTTTAACCCAAGCTCCTAAGTCCTTAAATTTCTTCATATCCAAGTGGGTGATTGGAAAGAGATTCTGGGGAGGATGGTCACCTCCTCTC